CAGTGGATCATGTATCTTGCTTACAGCACATTGCCTTCACCTATTGAATTTCTGTTCCCCAGATAAGCAGTCATGATTTGTTCAAAGAAAACTGTGGGCTTTTAAATATCTTTCATGGAGTGTGGATATCAGATCTATACATGATGATCCTGCAGCAGAGGCACTGCATAACACAAGCATTTTGATATTAAACTAAAAGGCAGCCCGATTTGATAGAGCTTCTCAAAGAATTCAGAACAAGTAGATGTCATAGAAGTGCAGTAAAATGAGAAGTTGCACAAATGCATGTAACGTAAAGCAGAAAGGAGGAGGAATTTAAACTGGGTCTTACTCCAGGCTGTCAAAGACTAATTGGATGTTCCACAATAATGGAGTTATAGTTGAAGCTAGTGAAGGGATCCTCTGCACAAGTTTTGGAGGGAACCCAATTTAGGCCTGAATGCTGAAATGGGAGAGATCAGGAAGATTGTGCCAACTACATCTCCAGAAACTTTCAAGCAAAAAAGCCACCAAAAATACTAACAACTAACTGAAAGACTTTTCAGTTGTAGAACTACTATCAAAGTGAAGTGAAATAACTGACTACCAGGCAGCACCAAGCAGAAAAGACACCGTCTGGCAAGTTTTTGTTGAGTGGGAGTATTTTAGAGGCTCACGTTGAGCAAGTGTAAGGAGTATACTAAGAATGTCTAATGTGTTGTGTGAAAACATAAAAGCAAGTGATATCTTGACAGAAGATGGTTAGCTGATTGAGAAGCTGCACAAAGTTCTCAATAAGAGAGGTTTTACAACTGTTTGGAGTGGCCAAGGCACACTTTCATGGCAAGCAGAGCTCTGACCGCAGGCCAGATAGGTGCGTTCATGTAATCCCAGCTGAAGCAGTGGAAGCGATGCTGACACCAAAGTTAGTGACACAGACATCAGCCCTGGCCAGCCCAGCCACCAGCCTTCTCCTGGGCCTGGGCACAGACTCAGCTGGCTACCCTGTGCTACCACGTCCTGGTGCTGTTTGTGTCTGTTCCCTGAGCAGGCAAGAACCTTTCTAGGCTGAAACTGCCCCATCATTCTGCAGGTATGGGTGCTTACAGGGCGGTTCTAGGGTCAGCCAATGATTCAGTGCAGCAGGAAGGAAAGAGTCTCACCTCCCTTTTTGGCCCTGCTTCACACTCATGAGACCTCCCCATCAGCCCTTTAAGTTTCTAGATGTGGAGAACTATCCACCACTTTCACTAGGTTTTACTTCCAGCCTAGTGAGCTAACATGGCGTACAGAAGACTGCAACACACACTAGTAACAGCAGAAGGTAAGAAACAGGAGGATGAAGGCAGGAAGGAGGATCTCCCTCCCCTTTGGGTGGCCTTCAGCTTCCCACTACAGCCTTACACTGTGCAAAACTACAGCAGTTTCACCCAAAAGCAGGTTTTTGCCCTCCACATCTCAATTTCTTGGCATGTGTCACACACTCCAGTGATTTAAATCCAGCAGGGAAAATAACCTAGAAGTGCTATGCCCATTTACCAGTTCAGGTTGTTTCAATTTGCATGAGTAACATTATGCAGCCTTTACAGCTTTTTCTGTGTCCTCTGCCAGATATAAAGCCAATAAGGAAAAGCAAGACCCTTCTGTTTCCAATTTGGACCCAGTCAGATTTTATCAAGACAGCAAGCAATCTTTCACAGACCCATTGATTTTATGTTCTACCTTCATTTGACGCTGAGGTCATCTTCCAGGATTGTAATAGGATGCCCTTGGAGCAGAAGCCTTCACGTCCCCAGGACTTACCATACCAACTTCTTTTGTTGTAACAAAAATGAGTAAGCTTTTTCTTGCTTTACCTCAAGACTGACATTATATTTTTAACTACATACACTAGCATTGGAAGGATTTTCCCTTTAAACATATAACCACAGAATAGGCAAAGGATTTTTTCTTACGTAAAAATTAACATGTAGTATTCCTTTCTTGTACTTGTACACTTCTGAACCCATTTAACAAAATACTAGACAAATTCTCAAGTGGCCAAACCAGAAGGTGGCTGTGCAAATGGAATCAAAGAACAGAGATTAGAATAAAGATGGTAAAACACCAGGAAGAGTCACAGCTTTCTAAGGGCCAGTGCCAGGACGATTGTCTTTTTGTAATGGATATATAATCTTGTGGCCTGTGGAAACAATTGGAGAGGGGTGGAAAGACATAGGGCTGATAAGCAAAGTGGGTGGTGGAATTTAGGAAAAGACTTCGGAAAGGAAAGAACTCTGAATAGCACACTCATTGGCTAAAGACATGGAAAGTACAGACTATAAAAAAGACATTACAAGCCTTTTCAAAAACAAAGATAGTAACAATTATACAAAAGCAGTGGAAAAGACCAAGAGCATCTCAGGACACACTGAAAGGACAACACAGAAACAAGCCAAGGGAAACCTTTTCTTGTGATGTAAAGGCCAGGAAAGAGCTACTTCTTGTTTCCTTATCTTTTTAACATTGTGCAAGGGACCTTCCTGTGAAGATAAGTTTATGAGCTGCATCAGTAGAAGCATTTGCCTCAGTTTATGAGCTGTCCATAAAAGGAGACAAACTATGGACACTTGAAAGGAGGGGGTGGACGCTTGTTGCAATGCACACGTACAGTGCTAAAATGGGTTAAGAGACATGAGGAGAAGGTCCCTCTGAGCCAAACAGCAGCAGGAGCACATGCAGCAATTAAGACAGAAGTTTTTTTACGTAACACAGCATCTCCTTCCTTCTTCAGGGGATACCAGGAACAAGGATAAGGCCAAAGAGGGGAAAAAAAAAAAGAAATTAAGGGAGAGAAGAATGTATCTGTATAATGATTCTTCCTGACACAGCCACGTATAAACCAACTGGTCAGTCTGGGCTTTATAAAGTCATTTCCCTCTCAACAGGGCTTTTGCTTTCCACTCCACCTTCCTCTGTAGATGAGGCAGGGCTGGGTTAGGATAACATGGGTGTGCCTGATCTGATCCATTTCCGGTGCCTGCGCGCCAGCACAATCCTTCCTGATTTTTCTGTTCAAAGATGTAGCACATATAAAGAATTCTTGAATTATTTTTCAAGTATTTTAATTTAATTTTCTAAATGCTGAGTCATACAATTATTTATGCTGTCCTTCCTTCAGTCCCTGAAAGCCACAAAAAGTAACTGTATTCACTGTTAATCCAATCATGGTAAAATGTCAAAGTTCTTCCCTTGCCTCCCCTCCCCCACGCCCTTTCCTCAGAATAAGATCTTCTGAATTTCTACACCAACTATTGCACTTGATCAAAAAACCAAATACATGCATCGAGTAATCCCCTTCCCCCCTCCTGCAAATCCAGCATAACAAATACTGCAACTGAAATTTGTCATGACAATTATTTTCAAAGTAAGTAACACTGAATATCAAATAACTGAAAACTGTCTTTTCATTTAATGGAGAGCGAAGAATTCTGGTTAAGGTGGTTTGTTTTCTTGTTTTCTTTTTTTTTTTTTTTAATAAAGATCATGGCTGAAAGCCAAGCAGATTTGGGGGATTTTTTTTTTGTGTTTTTTTTCTGCAGTTCTGAAATCAGGCAAATTAAATTCCAGTAAGAAAACAAAACCAACCCTGTCTCCTAATAGTGGTACTGTATGATAATACATTATTTTCAGGAATGTTTGTCAAGAGAGTCTGCACCGTGTTTGCATATTTACAGAGGTTTAACTTCCTGCACCCTTAAGTAGGCGTTCCCTCATGCTTCTTCCACATTCCTTAATCTGACACAAGGAAGAAATCCACTGGACCCAGAGTCCCACCACCTATCTGCTCTGCATTCAGTTATAGCACCCCAACAAGTCAGTGCTAACAACGGGTAACCTGAGTGCTGCCTTTCTGTGTAGTTGTTCCCCTTGCAGGTTGCAGGGCTTGGAGGAAGGGAGTGCTTTGGTCTGCATGACAACCTACCCAGTTACTTGCTGCTTTACATCTTTAAAAAGTGGCCTGGAGATCTTGTCATTTAACTTGGCTCTGCTTTGGAAGCCTTATGCCACATTTATGTGTTTCCCGAATGCAATAAGGAACAGTGCCAGCATAGAACAACTGCAAACTGTGGCAAATCATCACTGGTCTAATTCACAAACAATAAACTCTCTGTGCAAAAGGTTACTAGCAGAAGCATCAAGTTTTGCTGGAAAACTAGGAACCCCATATACAGATACCCATTAATTTAGAATCAAGAAGTATAATTCATATGACTGTATAATTTGGCTTATCATTCTAGTTTGATTCAGAGAGAAAAACAGTCCAACATTGGTGATGCACATTGTAGTACACTCCCTCCTGATCGCATATGACTGTATAATTTGGCTTATCATTCTAGTTTGATTCTGAGAGAAAAATAGTCCAACACTGGTGATGCACATTATAGTACACTCCCTCCTGATCATATTCTTTGCCCCTAGTCTAATAAAAAGCAGATCTGACACTTGCAGTTGCTTGGATCCCTCCCAGAGCATCTTACCACTTTTTATATTGGGTGTGGGTTTGTAAAGTGGAATATAATTTGGCTTATCATTCTAGTTTGATTCTGAGAGAAAAATAGTCCAACACTGGTGATGCACATTATAGTACACTCCCTCCTGATCATATTCTTTGCCCCTAGTCTAATAAAAAGCAGATCTGACACTTGCAGTTGCTTGGATCCCTCCCAGAGCATCTTACCACTTTTTATATTGGGTGTGGGTTTGTAAAGTGGAAAACCCATTGGATTAAGGCAGAAGACTGACATGAGCGAGCAGTTCATCACCAACATGGCCAATTAGACACAATCGGATAGAACTAACAACAAATATGCATCTATGTATTTACACCTTCAACTCCAAGAGTCTTTGTAGCCTTCTCCATCCAGCCTGCACATTTAAACTGACCAAAAAAAACCTCTTGTATACACACAGCACTTAAAAAACATGGAGGGGGAAAAAAAAAAAAAAAAAAAAAAAAAGAGGCAGGCAGACCAGCAGCTTCATCTTGGTATAATCATCCTTTCTATGGCACAAATGATATGATCCCAGTTTTTACAAAATATTGCCAGCAGTGTCACTGCAAAAAAAGTGCAGATGATATGAAAACGGCTCTTCATCATAGGAGCAATGAACTTTGCAATAGTAGAAACACACACTAAGATGACAGTCATGAAGGCCAGGATAACATTTATACATTTCCCCAGGAGCACTTTGGCATTAACTGTTTCGGACTGCTGCGCTTGCTGTTCTTGCTGATGGAGCTCCAGCTTTGAAACCCGGGTCTGGCATGATTCCAAGGCTTCCTGGAAACAGAAAATATGAATTAGGGCAGCTTTATTTCCATACACCACTTTTCCCGCTTTAGCTGCAGAGCCATCCATCAGCTAGATTAGAAGTGTAATTTATTAGACTCCTAAAATTTGAATGAACCACCAACTTCCTGAAAAATAAATGCACATATATATCTGCATGTCTGTATCACTGCCTGCTCAGGCATAATCAAGTCTGACAACACTGCCCAAACTGTAGATTTTTTATATTTTTGATGCTTGAGAAAAAGTATCATAACTCTAATGTTCATGACAGATAATGTTTCTTGCATATACTGATGAGATAAAGCACTGGGAAAGCTGTTGCCATGGCAACTTTTACTGCACTAAAACAGCACCAAAGTTAGTTTCTTTGTATATGCTATAGAAAACATTAGGGCAGTACAGTCTTGCTGTGATACCAATTAAACCTGCTTTGCAACATGTAGGATTCAGTTTACGCCACCTCTCTGCTCCACATTACTTTTTCTCTCAAAGCCACGCATGGTACAGTGCTGGGCCGCAGTGCTCAGTAAGAGATTGCCTCCTCCCTCTGTCAGCGTGAAGGCTCGTTAATTCATGCTCCAAGTGGGCAGCGCGCAGCGGAGGAGTCTGTGGCGATGCTTTTATGGAATTCTCTCTCACATGTCATATATTCCACTTCACATTCACTCTAAACAAAGCAGACCTTTGGCTTCTGCTAGAGGATGGACTAAAAATGGTCTTTGAATAAGATGGGTCTTAAGTCACTAACTTAAGCCCTCTCAAAGTGAAACACGGAAAAACTTCCAACTGCTTCACTTACTTGTTGAAGTGCTATCTTTTGCTAGAGTTGGGATTTGGGCACCACTACGTAACATGATGCAAGGTTATAATTTAATGAGATCAACCTGACATAACCTTTTACCACTGTGTAAAAGGGAAAAATCATGCTCCAGCATCCTTGCTTCCATCCCTGCTCTAAAATGCCAAACATTTTCCTTGCACTGGCAGAGGTGTTCACCTGATCACACAGTAAGCTGATTCAACCCAATCCTCTGTCTAAAAACAAGCAAACAAAACCACCCACACAGAGCTATTAGGATTTTTTTGCTGGGTCAGTTCTCCGCTGTTTCGGCAAGTTGAACTGGCACGTGACCAGCCAGGCACCAAAGTCAGCGCAAAGCACCTAGCACAGCAGGCAAGACTGCTGCTTTTTGCTGTTCTGGGAATTAGCAACAAAGACAGTTCTTAATGGGTGGCACTAAGTCCCTCAGGGTTCACACTCAGTCCCCACTACACAGTACTGAGCTTTCCTGGTCCTTCTGCCACTCTGACCGCAAGTTATTCTCAAATCACTTCGTGCTGCTTTAGGGAAAGCCCAGCTATAAAGTCTGATACCTGCAGGAAGTGTTTTAAAAACAACCTGCCTATCCCTGAGGGACAGAGCACTCTGAAGTTAGGCTGTTACTTAAAATATCCACAACTTAAACACTTTTACTCTATGTTAGCTTATTTGCCAATCCCCCAAAGAGACAGGTTTAAACAAGCCCAACTGTACAGAGATAAAAGAAATGAGGCTGTGTCAATACAGCACTTCAAATAGTTTTAGAAGTCTCTGAAACCCCCCCAGGGTTCTACTAATGAGGTGGCAAACATTTCACATCCTTTCTGCTGTAGAACTTGGGTCTTATTCAGTTTTTATATCCTCAAGATGCCTTCACAGAAAGGAGTCCCTGCATGAGAGACCTCTCTTCTGTAAACCTACAGAAGAACCTATAATATGCTTAGACCCAGCACCATCCTTTTCCCACTGTTCCCAGGGGGTTCCTGACTCTCACATCAGTCAGGAAACAGGGCAAATATCCTGCTCTCTGGGGTCTCCACAGATAGAAACGCAAGCACAGCGTTGTAGAGCACAGGTGGGTTTTTTTACCATCTGAGCCAACACGAAGACAGCCTTTGAGTGTTCCTCAGATGTTAGTGAACTTAAACCCAAGGTAAAGGAAAACAATGTTTTCACCATTTTTCACCATTTGCTCAGACTTTGGGTAGAAACATGCATTATATTAATGCTCATATTGTATATAAATATTCAAGTATGTAACTACATGCTGTCAGGACAAACTTACAGACACTAACACTGGCTTTTGATTATGGCAGACATCACTACAACTGATCACTGAAGGGAACACACCTATAGCTTTGATTATAGGGGCCGCTGCAACCACAGATTACAACTCTTGAATTATAACTGGCAAATCCACAAGTCTATCAATTAGATTTCTTACATCTCACCTTTATAATAAACCTTGCCAGCGATACGACTACATATTGGAGACAGTCTGAAGAAGAGGTTTGTGTTAGGACACCTTCAAAAGTGGCATTTTATACAATAGAAGGAGACCCTGGTGCAAGAAATTAAAACAGGCCATTGTTCATCCATGAATCTGCGTAGGCTACATCATCAATTCCAGCAGATAAAATTCTGAGTTCATTGAAACAGAGACTGTCACCGATGTAAACAAGTTCCTGTTTTAACCATAAAACAGATAAAACATGGACTTAAATCTTTCCCCAGATTCCCTATATACAAAGATGCAGAAAGATGTAAATGTTTTATAGTACAAGACTTCTACAAAATGTTGGACTTTTATAAGACGGAAAAATAAAAAAGTACCTGAACATCTCGTGACCGTTCATATGCTTGATATGCCACTTTCTCCTCAATGCTGGCAAGCTCTTGTTTCAAGTTTGCTGTCTCATGTTGATGAAGATCAGTGAGGTCATTTAACTGGTCTTCCAATCTTTCATATCTTATTAAGAAAAAAGGTCTAAATTTAGTGCCTTCCATTCAAGTAATGCTAAATCATAAAAAACAATTAGATGTTTTAAAAGCTAATTTCTCAGTGTACTATGGATTCATCTGACTGGCATTACAGAGCACATATAGAGAAATCAGTAAAAACTTTGGAACACTCTCCATAAGCGTTTATTCAGCAAACTGAAAGACTTTTGAATGTTTCTTGCTGGCAGTGAGCATTAAAAAGCAAATATTTGTACATCATTGGCAAATTATAAGAACTATAAACATGCCTAAGGGTATCCAACTCACATTTTTCCATTTCTCACTTTTCAATTAGACAAGAAGATATGGTTTCTAAGTAAGCTTGAGCCAGTTAACAGCTCGCCAGTAGTGAAAGGAAAAATGTGCTCCCTGGATCTCCTCTCAAACACAACTGCAAGGTTCTCCCATTCATGTACAGCCTGTACTGGCATGTCTCTGCACGGTAAACCAGTTAAACTAAACCATCAGGAAACTAGAAATTGTTTTTGGCAAATTTGTAACTTGATTTAACACAGGCAAAACCAAGCAAACACTGCAGCTGGCACAAAAATGATGGAGGCAAAATTGTCTAGCTGTGCAAGGGAGGTGGTGGGAGGCTTGAGATCGTAATGGCAGTGAGGTGCTAGTAACAGCTACTCTGCCTTCTGAAACCAAGTCCTGAGTTCAGTGGGCCATTTGCTTTGTTCTTTCCTCCCTCATGTGACCCAATACCCAGCCTTCCCTTTGTATTTCAAGAGCCGTAAACAAGGAAAACATTAAATAGCGCATTTCATACTGAGTTTTTGCCCATCAGTGCAGTAAAGACTTCAAGAATCAACGCTTACTTTAAGAAGGGATAGGAAAAACGGGACATAGTTACAGCAGCTGCAAGCTCTCTGTAGAACATACCTCACTTCGCACGGTGAATCACAAAGGAATTGTCAGTAACACATGCAAGAGGAAGCTCTGCTGCAGCACTTAAAATTACATTTCACAGCCCTGTGTTACACCAGGGCACAAAGTGACATTGTATCCACAAGATAGCAAGGTGTCCACAAAGCATTTGGACAAGGTGCTCGGGACTAAAGGGTATACTTCTCAGCTCTAAGTCCGCTCTGCTACACTGTAGACTAATCAGCATTTTGAATTCGCAACACATCAGAATCCTTCCACCAGTTACAAAACAATTGGCATTCCTATAAGCAGTATTCACATAATACATGCCAGATGAGAGAATTTTCTGACAAGCTGTTGACTATCGCATCATTTGATAGGAAATATTAACAGTCTACATGTATTTTCAGTTATTGGAAGGAGTGGAACATTTTGGTACTAGATATTGATTGGAATTATTTTTTTCTCTTGCTTCTGAAATATCACACACACAAGCACAAACTCACTTACACTTTCCAAATAGCTTCTATACCTGTTCAAAAGTCATTTCAAGAGAACAGTTTAAAAAGAAATAAAAAATACCTATATCTTTCCTCTTGTAACATCTGAGAAATAAAGCCATAGTCTCTTTTAAATTGTGTTTTTAAATTCTCAATATCATCAGCTAACTGGGACTGTGTCTCCTTGATTTCCCTTAGTTCCTCCAAAATCATGGAAAGCTTTCCTTGGCTGTCCAGGTTACTTGCCACAGCAGGACCAAAGGAAGTGTTCCCATTACTATCTGCTGAGCCAGAGGTCCCGCTTGAGCATTCATCATCACTAACGTATTTTGGTTTGGCAACAATGGTGGCACTGCCCCCATACGTTCTAGAACTCGTTTCTGGCCGAAACTCATCCAAGGTATTTTTGAGATGAGCAATGTTGTCTGCGCTACCAAATTTGTTTCGGATCAGGTTTGCAAACTCTCTAGACTTGCTGAAAACAAAGACAGGTGGTGTCAAAGATACACCTGGCACACCCGACTTGCTGCTCTCTGTTCCATGCCCAGAGGTACGAGGCTTTCCATGATGAATATCTTTCAAGTTATCTTTGGAAGTATCCTTAGCAGCTTTGGAAGATCCGTTTTCAATATCCTTGAGCTTTTTGTGATACTGTTCCAGTTTCTTCTGCAGCTGGGCAATGGAGTGGGCAGATTTCTGGTTCTTTTTTTCAAAGACTTGTTTAATGCGCCCAGCCTGTTGCTTGTCGGCACTGTTTACCAGTTTCAAATATTCAGCTACATTTCCATCTCGAGCTGTTTGTTCAACTTTGATTTGTTCCGTAACCCTGAGGATTTTCTGTTTCAAACTATCTGCACTGAGTTTGACTTTATGAAACTCTAGGACTCCATCTGGTACATCAAAATTCAGGTTGGTGTCAGAGCCTCCACGGCGAATGTTAAGTGGTAAACTCAGAGTATTCATATCATGTCTTTCCACCTGTCAGAAAAAAAAAAAACAACAGATAAATGGAATTTGTATTTTACTTTTTTAACTCAAATTTTTCCACGGCGAATGTTAAGTGGTAAACTCAGAGTATTCATATCATGTCTTTCCACCTGTCAGAAAAAAAAACCAAACAGATAAATGGAATTTGCATTTTACTTTTTTAAATCAAATTTTCAGCTTCTTTTTCCACATGTAGCTATAACAGCTACACAAAATAAAGTAGCTTAGAGTAGGAAAATAGAATGTATTTTTCTTTGAAATTAAGAAGCATTTTTCTTGACTTCCCTGGTTGATAAACAACCCAAGAAACTGACTGTCTCTATTAAAAAGGTAGCAAGATGAATTAGAGTGAAAATTATTTAAGTATATATTTTTTCAGAATAATTTAGTTATTTACAAAATCTGAAAAATACCTAGTTAGAAAAGGTTCCTAAATATATTGTTTATTATTAAAACTTTCAAAGAGATCATGACTGATACCACTTATTCTTTCTCTTAGAAATAGTCAAACACCAATAGAGATGTAAACAGATTTTCTCTTTACAGCAGTATTATACTGTTCAGTATATTTCACCAGGTTAAAGTCCTTTTTTGAAACATGCTCCTCCCACTCAAATTTATCCCACAATACAAAGGTTTTGCACAACTAGCTGATAGTTTTTGGAAGTTTACTGCATGTTTCAGTAAGAAGTAGCAACTAGTTTTTAGCACAGAGTGCATAAGAAAGAACTTGCCCGCATTTGAGTTCTCTTGCTTGATGACGACACTCAACAACTTGAATTGCTGTGGCCAAGTCTGTTTTAATAGCAAATTCATTGAGTGGGATTTACAGAAAGAAACTCAGGGGAGAAAACTGCATTCTCTCAAATATAGGATCCATACTTTAAAAATGCTCTCAGGAAGCATAACAAAGCAAAAATTTAAAATCAGGCAACTTGGTCACAACATGAGTGCAACAGATCATTCATCTTTCTCAACAGAAAGGCAAGATAGTCTGTTATAAAACATAAAAAGTATTTCCTCGAATAAAGTCAAAGCCATGGGGGAGTCATGAGACAAGAAGGATCTAACTAAAATAGCTTCATCCCTATTACCATTGTGCGCCAGCCTCTGTGACAAAGAATGTACCTATCATGAACGCTACCACAGTGACATATCTATAGATGCTGCTTAACAGACACTCTAGCCATGGCAGATTTTCAGAGCTTTAACACCAGAGGGAACTAATACAATTGCTCAGGCAAGACTATTGCAGAGATAAGGCAGAAGCTGCACTCAAGTGTCTTTTAAAGATGCCTTTATTAAATGCTTTAACTACTCTTTGCTTCAGAATGCCTGAGATACTATGTTAAACTTTTGATTTCCAGCTACAGTGTTAATTACTGTCTATAATAGAGAAGATCTTAAGTACACATACAAGTCAAGTGATCATGATTGAATCTTTCTCTTGATTAAAAAAAAAACCAATATAAAAAAAACCCAAAACAAACCCCATCATTAACCATTGCTGTAAGGTTTGTTATCCCAGGCTTGTAGAGTTTTGGCGGCCCTCCTGGAAATTCTCTGTAGCATTCCTGTATTGCCCTTACAATACAGGCTCAGGAATCAGACGTGGTGTCCTACTGCTAATGACACGTGTCGTGCATAGATTGATCAGGAGAACTATTCTCATGCTGTGTCTGTCATGACAGGTTACAAACACAAAGGGGGTAATATGCCATGAAATGGGATCTGTACCTGGCCATTTCAGAGACAAGATCATCTCTACTCTCACTTTACATTCCTATCCTTATATTACTGAGGACTGCACTACCTTTTTTTTTTCATCCTTTTTCTTTTGCTACTGCACTGCTCAGAGTGAAAGGCAGGTAACATAAAAGTTCGCATTCACCAATCCCTAAGAAAAACCAGACACTTGAAAAACGCAAACTGAAGAGTCATGGCAGTGACAGTTTCTTCTGGAGAAATTGCTTAATGGTGATCTTTAAGATGGGGGCTCTATTCCAAGGATTAAACCAGTGTTGTAGTCTAATAGCTCTGCATTTTACCAGCTTGTTAAAAATAATTGATACGGAGCTATATGCTGAATTATTAAAAGGAAGTAGGTATGTATTTATAAATATATAAAAATTTATGTTATTTAATATCATCAGTTCTATGTGCTTCACAGAAAATCTACTTTATTGATGAGCTCTCATATTAGAATTTGCATAGATTTGACACACATGGATGACATCCTACATTCAGGGTGATGCCAAATCTAAAGTGTGACAAAAATCACAAGTGTCAAAGATTTATATTTCTTAACTGAACAAGTTTTAGAAATACAAATAATAGGAAAAAAACCCAAACACCTTTAGAGATCACTTTTAAAACTGGTAACTTTCACAATACTGTTGTGGCAGCTAAAATATGCACTTAATGCAAGCAAAACTAGTTTGACACAGGATACTTGTATCTTTCCAAAAGCTCAAACAGCAAAGGAAAGCAATTAAGACAAATAGCTGAAAAGCTTAGATACTAGATCTGTACCCCATATTGCAAATATTTCTTTAAATGAATTTGCTGTGTCTGGACACATTCAGTAAAGAGAAAAAACTCAGTCTAAAAGAATAGTTTCCTGAAACAACGTAAGACCTTTTTGAATAAGCTTTGGCACAAAACTATACCATAATAAATCACCAAACTGCATATACACACAAGACAGATCCATCACTGATGTCACTCAGGACAAACTGTACATACTTCCAAGAATGGGTGGGTCTATCTCTAACCTTTACACAGCATTAAGTGTTTACTTCCTTAGTACAAAATAGTCTAAAAATATATTGTAATAATTGGATACAAGCCCAAACCAATCCCTTCTCCCTTATGTCCTCTCTCTCAGCGGAGTCTCTAGCAGTCAGTAAGATCTATCATCATCACGAACCCTGTGCCTTCCTGGAATTTCAAGGTAACAACAGCAATAGAGATAAAAAGAACAATAGTGTCAAAGGAATACATCTGCTGAAAGCTGCATTGCTTTTGGAGTTGAGGAAACCAGTTACCATGTGGCAAATCTAGTTCTGAAATGAGTAAACCCAATCACAGGGTCAGTTCAAATACAGTGAAGTTTTGAAAAGAATTGTTTCTAAATTCCCCAAACGCTGCTAGTAGTAGGGTTTTTTTAGGTTACTGGAATGAGAGCTCACCAAGGGTACAAAAGAGTCACATCCAACACATTCCTCTCTCTGACCGTATTTGGTCAAAAATGGCAAGTGTCCTCTTTCCATCATCCTGAAAGGCTGGGTCATGCAACAGAAGCTCTTGAAATCTTCTGTTGATGTAATACAGTTTTTCATTGCTTTCGGTTGTTTGGTGTTTTTTTTTTGGTGGGTGGGGTCATGGGTGGGTTTTTTGTTGGTTGTTTTTGTTGGGAGTTTGTTTTGTGTTTTGTTTGTTGTTGTTTGGGTTTTTGTTCTTTTACTTAGTGGGGTTTTTCTAAAATCAGAAGCAAGCAGACACTGGAGGACTCAAGCATCTCTAGACAAGTGGCCTATCACCTGTATTCTGCCTTGATAAGGTAGAATCAAATTCGGCAAGGGTCAGTTTGTGATCGCTTTACAGCTCAACACTAATCCTACGGAAGACTGTCAGTAGGAGTCCAAGATGCTCTCTCATCCCCACAGGGACCGGTGCACCCTCCTGTCACGTGGGCTTAAATCCTCTCTCCCACACAGGAGACTGAATGCACATCCCCCTCAAACCATGCAAGTGCTCTTCCACTAGGTTACAGGAAGAGATGATGAAGGCCATCCATGCTGTTCTTTCTACTTAGGTTGACAGCACCTAGGGCACCAAGCTGTTAATAACAAAGAAGTTGTTGAGAGATTGATTTGTAAGATTTCAGTTGTGGTTGCCAAGAGAAAAAATAAAATAATGCACACACAGTAGTGGCCCCAATAGCCAAAATGGGACCAGTCATATTTCTGGAAGTGAGAAGCACTGAAAGAAAAAAAGAATGGAACCATCATACACCTCTCCTATTACAATAACAATTATTAGGGAGCGGGGGATTAGCGATAGAGGTGAGGAAAGAGTCCTGAGACAAGAAGTAACACAAGGAAGATAAAGCACTAGCCCAGAGCCTACGGAAATACAGGAGACATGCCCAGGACCTGGCTTTTTGGTAAAACACAAAAAAACCAATTTGCACATGGTTACTGGGATAGCCATAGCTGCTGTTAGCTTGAAAGAAGAAATAAGGGGCTTGGGGAGACCACTGCATTTTTTTTTTTTGAGCAGTGTGCATACACACTTTGCTGTTACCCAGTTGAGAACTAATTGTAACGGTTGTGCTGCTCAAAGACTAGCTTTTAAGAATAGTGATTTATGAGTGCAGCAGTTCAGACTCCCTGCCTGCAACAGAGGCAAACACCACAGATGACTAGACAGGCACTTCTCAAAGGCCAGACAACCTCCTTCTACCTCAACCTCCCTTCTTCCAAGGAGCCAAACAGATTCCCAGCTGCATGGCCAGGTGGTTTATACAGTCCATCCCAAGCCCAGAGCTTTGAAAGGGATAGCAGAATTTTTTTGCTTCTGTTAGTGAGGCAACCCAAAGGGCCTCAATACCAGTCATAGATGTACAAACTAAACAAAAGCTTATGATAATTGAAGTTTATCTTGCCAGGCTTATAGAGGGGTATGTGATTAGGGCTTAGAAAAAGAATGCTGTAAGAAACATACAAGATTGGATTAAGGCAGCTTTAAAGCTTTTAGAGTTTGCCAACAAAAATAATCAGGAGTAATTCTTTTTGTCAAGAAGTATAGATATACCAGAAGCACAGGAGTTCCAACGGGTAAGACAGCATGAGAGGAAGCTTTGTTACTTTTTCAGTATATTTCAAAGCAGAATGTGTTTGGGGAAAGAATTTTACCATCTCTCTCAAATTCAGTGCTCCTTTTAAAATCCACAGAAGAGTCCTTCACTGAAGGCTTAAGAC